ACAGTGAGGCTCATGGTGACTTTGCTAACAAATGCCCCAGACTGTGGGTTGCCCTCCGCTTGGGGACACACTTTAACCAAAAATGAATTTGATTACCTCTGGACTTTCTTTCTTTCTTTCTTTCTTTCTTTCTTTCTTTCTTTCTTTCTTTCTTTCTTTTTTAAAGAGGATATGAGTCCTTTTTTTATTTTTCTTTTTTTTTTTTAAGATTTATTTATTAAGTATACAGTCATCTGCCTGCATATGTCCCTACAGGCCAGAAGAGGGCAGCATATTTCATTACAGATGGCTGTGAGCCACCATGCGATTGCTGGGAATTGAACTCAGGACCTTTGGATTTACAGCCAGTGCTCTTAAACTCTGAGCCATCTCTCCAGCCCCTCCTGGAGTTTCTTGATGCGGTCAAGTTCTTTGGTCTAGTAGAGGGGAGGTGACCATCTTTCAGTTAACTCCTACCTGTTAGTATGGGGTAGAAAAGGCTAGTTTGCCTACTCTCCTTGACCAGGCATAGGCAGGCAATCAAGACATTTGCCTCAGAGAGCCAACACCGCCAACATACAGTGGAAACGGGCAATAGACCTAGAGGTGGGAGAGTCCTTGTATGACAGTGAACCAGGCTGTCTGCTTAGGTCTCTAATGTCCTATTACTTAGGTCATCACTGCCTGGGCCTTGACCTGTTCAACTCAACTCCCAGCCAAACCAGGCTCCACTGAATACACCTGTACCCAAAAGAGCAGAGCTCAGGCCTTGTATTTTCAAAACACTTTGTGTTCTCCCAAATCCCATAAGTTCAACAGCAAGAGTCCTTGCAGGAGTCAGGCATGATATCTATACAACCATCATTTCTACACATGTGACATGAGAACTGGATAGTAACACTGCATGCTTAATAAATGCTCTTCCTAGTCGGGCACAGTGGCGCACACCTTTAATCCCAGCACTCAGGAGGCAGAGGCAGGAAGATCTTTGTGAGTTCCAGGCCAGCTTGCTCTCCAGCATTAGTTCTAGGGACAGCCAGAACTACAGCATGATACCGGTCTCAATAAACCGATCAATCAATAAATAACTGCTCTTCCTGAGATGAGAGTAAACAGTTCTTCGGCCTGGTTAGTTCCATTCAGTAATTTACCGTAATAGGCATGAGCCCCGTTATCACTACTTTTTTGGCTCCGTGTGCTGCCTTGGTTGCTTAGTTTTCAAAAGCTATTTTACCAGGATCTGAGGAAGTTTGGCACTCAAAAATGCTGACAGCAAGACAACCCTTTCAAATGACATGCAGCATCACTCGGGCTCCTGAGTTTTCGCCATCCCTCTCGGGCTAGGCGTTTTCACAGATGAAATAAAAATTAAATTTAGCATTACAGTTGATTCTGTGAAATAAATTAGTGTGTCTGGCAGTGCTGGCATTGTTTGAAGTATCTGAAAGTGTTTTCACTCTGTTACAAATGTCTCCTGCTGTGAAAGCCTAGAAAATAGGCTGAAACGCAAAGATGACACTTCATAAACTAAGAGGGTCAAGAAACACGGCCAGGAAAATAGGGGCCTTGCCTTGGGACAAGCAGGACAACCCCAGCCGGTCAAGACAGGATCTGACTCTGCATGTCTTTGACAAGGACCATCCCAAGAAACAAGCCTTCCCCCTGCCCTGCCCTGCCCCCCAGCAAGTTGAGAGGGGTTTCAGAGTATGTAAGGGGCCGTCCACCAAGGATCTTGCTCAGGGTGTTTTCTAGATGCGGCTCCCCAGAGCTAGCATGCTGCAGCATCCCACAATCAGAATAGAGAGAGACACCCCGTGACCTGCCCCAGACACACAGATAAGCTGCCTACTGCAAAACAACCACTCATCTCCTCCCCAGTGCCCGTGGTGTTTTCCAACTCTCTGTAGGATTTTCCATTAGAAATCCTACAAGCAAGATTAACACGACACACCTAGCTATGAAAATATATCCATACCCTCATACACGAGTGTTTATAGCTTTTCATTTATCGTGAACAGTGAATCTGCTTTATGTTCATCATGAACAGTGATAGATTGCAATGTAGTTTCTCTTTGAACTATCCACAGTGTTCCATATTGGCATCAAGAATGCCTCCTTTGGTTAGGAAGGACACAAACGAAAAGGAAGGAAATTGGACTATGGCTTTAATTCCTGGCTTTGCCCAGAGTCCAGTAGCCAAGGCACTGTTACTGCAGCACTAATACACTGGGCTGGTATCGAAGACACAACACACACACCCTTTGCACCCGGATGGGCTCCACCCAACCCCAAGGAACCACAGGACTTTAGAATCAGACCAATTTCCCCAAGAATCTGAGACGTTAGGCAGAAAGTTCATTCTAAATTTAACAGTTCCTGCTTCTCAGGAAGGCCTTTGGGCTTTGGGGCCTCTGACCCTCAGGCCACACACAAGACACGTGCCTTTGCGGGCCTTCCTGGGCGAGCAGGTTTCCTCCAAGTTGGACCCCCATCAGCCCGCTCACTGTCTGCACGCCCAGCCAACTTCTCTAAGGTGGGAAACGAAGCAAGCCGGGTGAGCAGTGGAGACACAAATGGTTGTGCTCAGGACCTGTATGCAGCACTCCAGCTCCAGAGGCGGCAGAAGGATGCAAAGCCCGAGCCACCAGCCGCCGCCTCGGGATCCGGGATCCCTCTGCGCGGGGATGCTGACCCCTGCTGGCCCCGTGAGAGAGTGCAGCGTGACAGACTCCCAAGGTGCAGCAGGGGTAATGGAGGCAGAGAGATCACCAGTGGAGGTGGTTTGTGTGGACTTTAGAATGCTAAGAGCCAGCTGTGGGGTAGCAGAGGTCCCTGCACCTCCCTGTGGCTGCCCAGATGCAAATCAGCTTTTCTTGTTTCTAGAAAGAAGAGTAAAGGAAAAAGGGGGGGGAGTACAGAGACCCAAGACACTGGCATCCCTCTAGCACCTACCTGTGCCTCCAAAAGACCCCCCTCGATTGGGGTATTGCCAGACACCAGGCAACTCCTAACCTAAGACCCTGGGGCTTCTCACTCAGACAGGTGGTTGCTGGCTGCAGTCAGCTGAAAATACCTCACAGCTATTCAGGGTCTAAGCCCAAGAGCTGTGGAGACAATGGCAAGAGAGACTCATGAGAAAAGGAAGGATTCTGAGATTGTAGCGATTGGTCTAGATTATTAGACATACTCTACATGTAATCACCCATGGCACCAAAGGGAGGCCGAGGTGAAGGGATATGTCACCTTACACGAGGATGGGAAGAGAGATGGGAGGGTTGGGAGAGAACAGGTTTCCTCTGTAGTGCCCGGAGCCCCTGCTGAGAATATATTATTATATATATATTATTTACGAAGATATATATCTTAGTGAATATTAAGGGAATAAACGTGTGCTTTTTCAAGGTACTAAGTTTGTGGCCTTTTTTGCTTTTAATAGCAGCAGCATTGAACTAACACGTAACTGTCTACTCAGTCTTTACGATGAAGTAGGCTCATGAACAAGGCAGACCCCACCTCCAACCCCAGGGAAGTTTGTGTGCCCCCTCCTGGGCTTTAAATAGACAGGGTAGTGGAGAAGACCAGCAAAAAATATTTAAAAATTAAAAAAAAAAGAATGTCTCCAGGATAAGTCTTCACACTTGCTAGGATAGCTATCGTCAGAGAGTGGCAAGAATTTGTGGGGAGCGGCCACCGTTGGAGAGGAGCAGCCATGGTCCTGCGCTACCCCATGGCCATGGGCCTCAACAAGGGCCACAAGGTGACGAAGAATGTGAGCCAGCCGAGGCACAGCCGGCAGCGGGGACGCCTCACAAAGCACACCGAGTTCGTGTGGGACGTGATCCGGGAGGTGTGATCCCGGAGGTGTGCGGCTTCGCGCCCTACGAGTGGCACGCCAGGGAGCTGCTCAAGGTGTCCAAGGACAAGCGCGCGCGCTCAAATTCATCACGAAGCGGGTGGGCACGCACACACGCGCCAAGAGCAAGCGGGAGGAGCTGAGCAACGTGCTGGCCGCCATGAGGAAGGCGGCGGCCAAGAAGGACTGATCCCCTCTCCGTAGCGGGGGTGGGAGGGTGGGGGGGAGGGGAATTGGTGGGGTAGCCACCCTGGAAAGCGGCCAGGCAGTGTCTTTAAAAACTGAGCGTAAATAACAGTATCACTCAGCAAGGTATTCCCAGAAATAAAGCCCAGGGATACAACCAAGATAATTGAACACACGAACCCAAGACCATCTCCATGAGTACACATGATTCATACAGAATAGCTGTAGCCCATAACAGCACAGATGGTCAACTATGAATGAAATGCAGTGTGCACAAGTGGCACAGTATCCACAAGCCAAAAGGACAGATCGTTAATGTGCTACGGGATGTGTAGGCCCCACAGCACGCTGGCTGAAAGAGGCTATCTGCAGAAGACTGAGGACCACGATTCCATTTAACAAGAAATGTGAAGACGCAAATCTAACCTGTAGTCCCAGCTCTTGCGATGGAGAGACAGGAGCATTGTGAGTTCAAGGCCGGGAGAGACGTACTAAACCACTGTCACAAAACAGGTAAATCCTGAGACAGAAAGATGGGTGGCTGCCTGGGGCCAGAGGTGAGGCTAGGAATGGGGACAGGCTACGGTGGCCAGCAGAGGTCAGTCCAGGGTGATGATTTTTAAAACCAGGTTGTGTGATTACACAACATGCTAGCAAGTTGGTCTTACTCTCTAGAAACTAGACCACAATAAAAATGTTTTGTTTTTTGACACAGCCCAGTAAGGAGCCTCTTGAAAAATATTGCAAAATATTAAGTACAATAAGAAGTCAAACAGTTGGGTTTCAGGTCAACCGCCCAACTCTTCTTTAGACTGACAAGGCAGCGGGTCCCCAGTCAGCAGCCCAATGGTATCACGCTATCTTTATTTTATTAATTAATTTATTAGCTCATTATTTTGTGTGTGTGTGTGTGTGTGTGTGTGTGTGTGTTACTGGGAACACAGGCCCTCCCACATATTAGGCAGCCACTGTAGTGCTGAACTACAACCCCAACATTTTTTATTTATTTATTTATTTTGAGACAGGGGTCTCACCATTGAATTGCCCAGACTAGGCTTGAATTGATCATCCTCCTGCCTCAGCCTCTCAAGCGACTGGGATTACAGGGCTGAGTCACCAGGCTTGGCTTCATGGTGCCCTTTACACGCCCGAGAGCTATGGGGACAGAGCTGCCCATTGTCCACCCCCTGCCTTGGCGAGAGTCCCACCTGGAAGCCCGTACATGGCTCCCAGTGTCGCAGCTTGCGCTATAGCATGCCTGGCCTGACGCCTGAACCTTCTCCAAGGTAGGCCTGGGGTCTCACCCTGTCCACAACGTCTGGGTGTGTCCAGCTGGAGCAGGTGAGACACCTTGCCTTCTCCTGTCCCTTCTTCAAAGGGGCTCTGTCCCCAGCCTACCGAGTTCCTGCCTAGCTGCAGTGGCTGTCTCGGCTGCTCCCTGGAGCAGGAAAGGTGAGGAGCTGGAGCAGGAAGCTCCTGGCACAAGGTCAGTTGTAGCCCCGTGTCTCCCAGGGTCCTGGAGTCAGCTCATAGGCAGTTCTTAGAGGAAGGTCCCCTCTGTCCTCTGAGGGTTGAGTCACTGAATTGGACAGATGAGCAGGTAAAGGGCAGACAGATGTCCCAGTGTGCACAGGGGCAGTCCAAGAAGATGATCACTCAAGAGCCCTCCGCACTGAGGCCTGGGGAAGCCAGGAATGTAGCTGTCCCGAGAGGCAGAGAATGAATGCCCCAGAAACAAACAGTAGAGGAAAATGACTCTCAGGTGTGGGCCAAAGCCGCAGGCCGTAGATAGCTTGTGACAGTCTCAAGTCTCACTGGATGAGATGACTTTCCTGGGCCTTCCTACTCTTCCCAGGCTGATGGAGTCTCTGGAAATCAAAGGCAGCTGTATCCCTTTTGGCAGACCTGATCATTAAGTAGATAAGGGACTTTCTAAGCCGTTTCTGGCTTTTGCTGATCCCCAAGCCAGCAGACAGGAGCACTACGTTTAGGGGTGACATTCCTTGGATTCCTTCAACAAGTAAAAGCCTTCCATCTGCAGAACAGGCCCCTACCTGTCACTGCAATGGTCCCTCTTCCAGAAACCTGGGACCCTGGGTGAGTTCTTTTCTTCAGTCTGCTTTACAAGTTTTCCCTCCTACAGTGTTCACAGAACGCAGGCCCCTGCAAGCTCGCGTGTCAGTCACCCGCCTGTGCAGCTCAACCAAACAAAAATAAAGATAGCACGGGCTGAGACCGCAGGCCTCTGGCCTCCTCTCCAGCAGTCTGGTGCAAAATGCTAAGTATAGGCGAAGGACAGGGTCACCCCCTTTTTAAATGTTAAGGAGACAAAAGGCTAGATTTAAAAAAGAATACGTGTGTGTGTGTGTGTGTGTGTGTGTGTGTGTGCACGCTCGCATGCGTGTGCTTGTGCGTACATGCGTTCCTTCTGTTTATGGTTGAGGGACACAGTTCTAACAGCAGGAGAGCCCAGACAGGGACCAAAAGAGTAAAGACAGAATTTCTCTGTGGACACAAAGGCACAGCTGAAGAAAATGCAACTGGAGCTGAAGGGAGAGCAATGGCGGTGCTCACCTGCCCACCTGGAGATGAAGGGAGAGCAATGGCAGTGCTCACCTGCCCACCTGGAGCTGAAGGGAGAGCAATGGCAGTGCTCACCTGCACACCTGGAGATGAAGGAAAAACAATGGCAGTGCTCACCTGCACACCTGGAGCTGAAGGAAAAGCAATGGCAGTGCTCACCTGCCCACCTGGAGCTGAAGGAAAAGCAATGGCAGTGCTCACCTGCACACCTGGAG